CACTCTGCCATCTGCATGATGCAACTGGAAACGTGATTCATCGGACCACATGACTTTTATCCAATGCTCGACTGTCCAATCCTTGTGTTCCTGTGCAGACAGCAAAGGTGTTCGAGCAGGCCTTTGGCTTCCATATCCCAAATGATGCAGTGTACGGCAAACAGTGCGTTCAGAGATCATTTGAGAGGATCTCTGATTAAGATCTGCAGTAATTTGATGCACTGTTGCCCTTCTGTTGTCTTGTACCAGTCTTGCCACTCTCCGTTCTGCCCTAACATTGACTAGTCGCTGACGGCCACAATTCGCACGTTCAGACCCAGATTTTTGGCTGACAGTCCAGTCTTTAAACACTTTAACAACAGCTGCTCTTGAAAATGTAACAAATTCTGCTGTTTTGCTGATACTCGCTCCATGGCTCCGAGCGCCAACAATCATCCCACATTCAAAGGCTGTTAAATCGCGTTGTTTACCCATATCTTCAGAAACAAATCACTTCTACTGTTGTGGTAAACAACCTGCTTCCCTATTTATGATGGTCTGGCCCTCTAGCAACTTCAGCTAGGTTTGGTGTCAATATAGGGGTTAGCGAATTTCCCAACGGTTTTGTTGAACAAACTGAACTTTGCTTGGTTCACTCATCACTATTGTAGAAATTTCCCTTCACTTGTTGGTCCAGTAATCTCTAGAACCAGAGCCTGCTGTGTCCACTCCCTCCCCTGTTTGTCTCTCCAGTCAGAGAGTTTGTTTGTCTCTCCAATGTGGAGCCGTAACTGAGCAATGTCATTGTTCTCCGCAGGGAGGAGACCATGAGCTGAGCAATCAGTGGTTACATGACCATTAAGCCTTCGGTATACAGAGCCGGCCTGGGACATCCCATGTTAGCTCTAAGTCCTTGGAAATCTTTGCCCAGAGATGGGCTGGAAACATTTTCACATTCTAACAAGTTAATTTACCAGTGCAGTACCATGTTTGTACCCTTAGTGGAAACCTTACACAAATACAAAATGTAATGATATTCATTTCCTTTTTTTCATCTTAGCACTGGATTCATGCATTTTGATGTTCCAGATTAATGAGTTATTTAGTGAGTTCACAGAGATAAAGCCCCCGAACACCTGCTGTGCTTCCCTTGATTGTTGCTAACTTAATTGAATATAAATTCAGTAATTAAAAGATATATAATCAACCTATAGGAAATGTTTCAAACTGTTCATTATCTCAGGTCGTGAAAGGAAGTTGCATCTAAACTACTTTTCATCGATTTCATTCTATATTGTCAAAGCTCAATGGAATACATTTCTGTCTTATCTTCTGCCAATAATCTAAACTGTAAAGTAATTTCTCCTTTCTCCTTGATGTCACTCATTCAGGCTAGATGGGTTTTTTGGAATGCATAGCAGCAGGAAAACAAAATGCAATATCAAGCAGAGTTTAAATAAATAACTCTCTAGTATTTCTACTAGAGTAACTTGGCATTCTTTGTATTTCAAAGTTTTTATTGGTTTTTGGTTTTCCATTTTTTATACAGAAATAATTTGTTACAGTCAAATATCATGTGCATCATAGCCAATTATCTGGTTGTCTTTAATATCGACACTGTACCCCCCCCCCCCCCTCTTAAAAGTATTTAAGGCCTCAGTGGTTCCGTTAGCTATGCATAGTTAAACTATAAGAGCCCATTTCTTAATAACTGGGGGCAGGAGGTCTTATATAATTATTTTCTTATCAATAAAAATATTGCTGTTCCTCGCTATGTCTACACATGGTAGTTTCTTGTGGTGGACTGGATTACCCCTCCCACCAATCAATAATAAAGAAATGGAAACACTATTCATTAAGCAGAAAATAACAAGTCGAAAGAAAAGTAGAAAAAGGAAGAGAAAGAAAGGAAAAAAAAGGAAAGAGAAAGTTGCAGATTCCTAAGGTTCAGATTTCCAGAGCGGTGAATACCCTTAACAGGCTCACTGTGTGCCTGAAAAAATTAAAATCTTTCGATATGTCTACCATGGCTCCCATATTGCTTCGAAATTCTTATATATCTGTCTTGCAAGATACTATATAGTTTCTCATGGATCATAATCCAATTTAATTTAGACTGTACCATAGAGAATGGTACCCGTAACTTAGCATTCTTGTTTATTTCCCAAATCTTGGATTTAAAGAAAACCTTAAAATTAGAAATAATTAGGTTTCTGCAAGAATATGATATTTTGTCTTTTTTAGATTCAAATTCAGATTGGCAAAGGGTTGGGACTACTGTTAGGTTTATATTGCTATCTTTATTCCTGCTAGAGAGATTTGCTCTCTCTAATTGTCCTGATTATTAATGTGATAGGAATTCAAATTTGAGTTTCCACCAGAACAAGGATGCTCAATTCCAAATTTTGGGTAGTGTAGGGATTGGTTAATACTCATATCAAGTTTGTTTTGTTTCTTTAACATCTGTCTCCAATTTGGGAGATTTCCCTTCACTTCATGTGCTATTAATGCAGCAGAAATCAAGGTGTAATGCCTGCTTAGGTGGTTGTGACCCGGTTGTTCTCACTGGAAGATTTCCTCTCTGTTTTGGTGACAACTCAAACTCACCCCATCAGCACAGTTTCTATCACAGTGAAAAAGGTCTCCAGGGCAAATAGAGACAGTAGATATCCCCAAAGGAATTCTGAAAATATTTGAAACCTGGTAGGAGTTTTAACTCTTGCTCACTCCATCCAAATCTAAAGAAAAATAGCTTTTTATACACTTTGAATTATGATTTTTGCAGTCTTACTCATGCAATGTTTGTATCTACTACTTTAATATAACATCTGTTACATAGAAAATGTAATGTTTACTTTAAAAATTGTATGCTTATTTTCCAAATAAAATTATCTGAGCCTGTGTTCACTATGAATATCCAGTCATACAAGAGAAATAAAAAACTTTTTTGCTACCACATGATTGGTTTATTAAATTAATACACAGCTTTACCTTATTTACCAAACACAGTAAATATTCACTTTAAGACAACAGTAACATTCTCGAATGCAGCTTTTCTCAACCAGGGTACCGTGGCACCTTGGGAGGTGCCTCAAACGTTCCACACTTGTTTTTTCTTTGGTGCAGGCTGGCCAAATGTCTGATCTGAAGGAGTGCTCCTAGTGTCAGATAACAGCCTTATAGTAATGAGCTATATGGATTGCTGCAGGACTCTGTTATCTGACTTTGTCATGGAGCCAGCAGTTGGGAATGTATGTGACAAAGCAGTAACTGGCACTCGTGAATGACCTCTGACCCTTGACACTTTACTAAAATATGAAGTGAAGCTAAATAAAGGGGCAAATATCAACATTTCATAAGACTGCACAATTATAATAATTTAATTTAGTTTACTCTTTTTTTTTTTTGCATCAACAAAGATAGAATTTAATAGATAGATAGATAGATAGATAGATAGATAGATAGATAGATATATGGGTTGAGATATACAGTGATGAGAGGTGCAGCAGGACATTTTATTCAGAGTTCTTGCTCATTCATGAATACAGTTGCCTTCCTTATCTTCTACACCAGCATCTTAATGGACAACTTACTTCCCCAGTCCACTTAACTACCCTAATTGGAACCTTTCCCTCACAGCTTCTTACGTACCTCCTCCAACTGCAATGGCCTGCTGCAGTATCTATATGGCATCCAGTACAATTGTAGTGCAGTGCTGCCCAGGCCTGAGCACTATCATCCCATAGACATGAATGGTAACTAACTGTACTGCAGGAGCAACATCCCATTTAAGTCTGTGGGACATAAGTAAGCACCTGCATGGGATAGGGCAGATTACAGAGATCAAGAGTTGAAGGGCTCAATTATTAGTGGACCTTGCATTTTCATGTAAGATCCTGTTATGAGATGTTAGTATAGAAAATAAAGATAGGCCGGCTCCCTGTGCTCTGGGGCTGGAGGGGGTGTGGTGGTGCATTCAAGTCAATGGCACCACAGCTACGCCCCTCGCCCGCAGTGCGATTGACCACACCAGAACATGTGGCACAACAATGCCGAATTCTGGTGTGGGAGATCACACTTCAGACGGGGGTGCTGCAGGGCCATTGACTTGAATGCACCGCTACTCCCCCTCCCACCCGAGAATGCACGGGGGAGTTTAGTATGCAATGCAGTGCATTCCAGCAGCTAACTTTGCTGGAATGCACTGTAACTGGTGTGAAAAAAAGCCCTAAAGGAAGTGATATTGGCATTGTTAACGGTTCAGGAACAGTGGTTTTAGCACATAGCAGAGTCACTAATAGTTCCGTTTTAAATTAGGTTAAGTTGATACACTAGTAGTGACATCATTAAATCTTAATCCACATCTGAATAGCAGTCAGAGGCAGCAGTAGTTTAGATGATATTAACTTGACTTTACAATCCATATACAGTACAGCTATGAGGCTGTAAGAACAGGAGTGCCTGAGCACATTCACATACTTGAAAGTGCACTGCTATTTTTTAGGAGGAATTCAAGACAAAGGCTCCATTTTTCAGGGTACTACATTTCTAGATGTGCCCAGTTAACATATATGTTTGCAACTGTATATTTAGCTTTTTGGTTGAGGTTTGGCCAATTATTCAAATTAAAATATGATTTAACAAGAACTCTAAAATACAGCATTACGCAGATTGTAAGGATTGCTTTTTTGCTTACTAACATATAGTTGTATTCTCATTTGTATTTTTACGTTAATGTATAATTAAGTAAGCTGTTGGCTTGTTGAAAAAAAGGACTGACCAAAATGACAGTGAAAGATTTGCTAGGAATCCTAGTTCGGATCCTAGTGCCAGCTATGGAATGAATACATTTGTCTGTTTTCAATGCTTTAGATTAGATTTTAACTTCACTTTAGGCACTACAATTTTTAAAATGTATATTGAGTACAGGATATAGTTGCAGGAAAACATAAAATGTTTATTATTTAAATAGAATTACAAGTAATTGAGTTTTTTATAAATTGTTTTTTTTTCTATTAAAGATACTCTTTTCAGCGGCCTTGGAATTGGAGCAGTCATCGGTTTGGCAGTAGCAGCTCTCCTGCTAATTCTTGTTGTGACGGATGTCAGTTGTTTCTTCATGAGACAGTGTGGATTGCTTATGTGTATAACCAGACGGATCTGTGGGAAAAAAACTGGCTCCAGTGGAAAAAGTAAAGAATTAGAAGAAGGAAAAGCTGCATACTTGTGAGGAAAAAAAGTGTTTTTTCTGCTTATGCATATTAGAGTGTGACGATTCCTTTCCATAGACTTACACACAGAAAGTCTTGTGTATTTAAAATAATAATAGTGTAACAATTTGAACAGTTATTTTACCAGGTTTGTGAAGCAGACACGATGTCAGCTTTTTAATAACCTAAAGAAAGAAGAGTCAAGTCTGTCAGAATGGATTTCAGTCAACAGAATGACATAGATCTAGAGTGAGAACACCCATAGCTGGACATATTTACCAGGCTGAAGGGGGTTCCCATATTTTCACTAAGAGCAGAATACCCTTCAAATATGTTTTTATATCCATTAGTTAATTACATATTTATTTTTGTACATGTGTATTCAAAGCATTCCAGAAAGTAATTAATAGGTTATTTTCTTGTTGATCCCTTTGGAAGAGTAAATATAGAAGGTATGTTTGCTTTATAGATCAAGTCTTAATTTTTTTATAAAGTCTGTGACGGTGTCATCTACAAAAGCAGGCACTTCCTGGTGTCTAAATATTCGTTCATCCTTCCTATGTAGCTCCAATTCCTGGGCTCTCTTGTTCTCTTGCCCTCTTCCCCTTATCTCCTGTGTCTCATGATTGGCCCATCACTGTGATGACTAGACTTACCGGCCAATACTGAGGTGCAGGAGGCAGGGCTATGCATTTGAAATTTGCATGCCAAAAAACCTTGGGATTTGGGTCACCTCGGTGCTCAGCAAGAATTTTACCACTTGCACTTTTGCACTATTAATACTACTTCACTTTAACTTTAAGGCCATAGATAAAACTATCACTTTTTGTGCTACAAAACTAATAGCTTCAGGAAATGGTTTCAAATGAGTCATGTGACACTAGTATGTACTATTTGCGAAGTGGTTGACAATGAAGTATGAAAGTTCTACATGATTTTTCATTGTACAATAAATGCTTTGAAGCTTGAAGGCTTGGTGTCTTTAAATGCTGTTTATCAGCTCTGTTCATGTTCTGAGGGAGGGGAACTGCTTGTTGTATGGCAGGAAGGGTAATAGACTCCAGCTATTACTTAAATATATTTAGTCAATGTTTGTGGGTTTTTCACCCAGTTTGTATAGACAACAACATTTAGCACAGAGATAATTAGATAAGCACAAGATCAGATCTGTCATTTTTCATCAAGATTTATTTAGACTTTTTTGCACTTATTATGACCATACTAAAATTATGAACATGTTTAAGCTATTTAAAAGGATTAAACTCCATTTTACATAACATCCTCTTGCCCTGTAAACAATCCTTGCTCTACCCTCACATATTTCTACTGTCTCCTGTTGTTCCATTGTCTGTAAAGTTCTGTAAACCTTAGTATTTGTGCATATATTTTTATTAAAACGTGTTGCATTCATAATTGGAGATACAGTAAATTGAAAAATGAAAAGTATAAATAAAAAATTAAATATTACTTAACAAACATCTCCTCTCTTATTTTTCTCCATTCTCTATATCTAAATAGAATGTATTCTTATGTTCCATATTTAAGAAAAATATGGTATTATATTGATAAACATACTTATTTAGGGCTGTCAATACTTCTAACAGGGTGATAAAACCTCTGTTTGGACAGTTGCTCTTGACTTGATATTACATCCGCAGTCTTTGAACTGGAATATTTCTCAAGTAAGAAAGTATAGATTGTACTAAAGTTAATAAGATGCACTCTGAAGAACAGGAAAGTGTGTCATCGGAAGGAAATGTACAATTGAAATCACTCAATGTACTATAACCTCTCTGAATAAGAACACTTTGATTTTTATTTATTTATTAAATAATTTTACTGGATATTGAAATAACTCAAATTGTTCTTCCTTCTCAAGAGGTCTTGGCTGCTAGCATAAATGGTCCATATTTTTTTCTTTGTTCCATATTCCATTGTTAGAACCTTATTTGTAAGTATTTTACAGACAGAGGAGACTTTGCATTTCACTTTACAGTTTTCTAAGTGGTTAGCTAATTTTTAAGAGTTCCCTAAATAGTCAAGGTGAACAGAATGAGAATGTTTTGTTGCAATAAAATAATTGTTTTATGTTGTGTATATAGAACTAATGTATCATTTATTTAGGTGCAGATAATTCAGAGATTATTGTGGTGTGTAAGGGTTGATGCTCAATTTATGAATTTAAATGGGAAAACAGTATACAAATATGAAATAGCAATATGGTTTTCAAATAGTAGCAATTAACAATGCAATGCATTCACTGATACATCAGAGGAAATGAAGAAATGGCTACTGATTGATAGGCAAGTTGATTCTGGCAAGATTTAATTGACATTACAGATTTTCAATTTATTAATCCCTTCAGGTTTGTTAATTTCTAATTGGATTGCCATTTGGTAACACGTTGGTGGAAATAAAGACCTGGGGAAAGAGACAAGTGTCCCTAATTGTGCAAGTGTAGATGTTGCAGAATATGTACAGTATAAAGTTGTTGACTCTCAAGGACAATGTGGTACAATATTGAAAACCTTAACACTGCTCTGTGTGCTTTAAAGTTTGGAGATATTCAAAGATCTGGAAGGGAAATTACACACCCCACCACAATTGACGCTACCCCAGATAATTGTGTTTTTCTGTAGCCCAAGTTTTTGCCTGTTGAATATTTACTCTCTATACTTTCATTATATGGGTTGAACAGTCCCAATGGCTTTTCGATCATAATACCTAAAATTTGATTGCTCGTAGAAAATTTTAATCCATTTTTTTTAAGGTCACTATTCACCATAAGCTGACCTCAGCTGATCTTCTATTTCTGATTTTCTACTCATCCATGACCTAAATGTAAAAGAGTTCCAGGTTATGCTTAAGCATTTATTACATTTAAATAAAATTATAACTCATCTACAGGGCTTTTTTTTATTAAAGCAAAACTCGAAAATAAATGTTTAAACAGGAAAAACTTTACTCCAGATGTGTTCACATAATATTGTGTACAACAACACTAATACTGCATTAAGCTTCTTCTTGCTGCTTTTGCATTCCCAATGGCTAATAGGGAGAGAGAAGCAGTTCTGATGCAACAAAGACCTAAACAAAATTACAGGAGGGGAGAACACGGGCATGACCTTATTAGTGTGCTGCAGCTCCTTCCCTGTGTTATTACCTTGGGGTAGAAGTAAAGAAGCAAAACTTCTTCAGCTGTGTTTCCTGATCACCCATCAGATGGGTGACTGCCATTATCATGAGGATGTTGAGCTGTGCATCTTTGCATATTAAAGTAATAGGGCATATGCAGGCCATACTCTTAAGATCCTGAGATTTTTGCTTGGAATTTTTTTTTTAAGGGTCAAAAATAGATTCTGCTCTAAACATATATTGCTACAAAAGGACTCATAAATAAGGTCTAAACCTTTAAAGACAAAAAATGCAATTCATTAAATGGTTCATCCTGCTAAGAATATGGCTTATATGTGCTACTAGAGCACAGAAAGCTGGATCCATTACATAAAGCTTTGGCATAGACTATCGTCTTGTGTGTTAAAGACAAGAGCAAAGGCAGGGGTAATGTGTGGGTGATAAGTGAACATAGTAGGGAGTTTAATTCTCAATGGTCTTTTGGCCAAATAGGAAACTGTTTCAGAAGATCTTTGATAATAAGAAAAGTTGGGAAATATAGCCATGGCACCATCTCATTGTCAGTATAAAAGTAGAAAATTATAAAAGTGTCGATAGGCAGATGCAGCTTTCTTGCAGATGATTTACAGTTCATTGACAGGTAAACTTGACCTGCAGTTAACCTCCTTCTTTATCATCATCAACCTGCTTTAAGTTAATTTTGGAATCCCATTGACTTTTACGGGAAATTAAGTAGTTCTGAGCATAAAAGCCATTAGACACAGGTTCTTAATACATTTGCTTTAATATGCATTTCTGTCCAATACAATAAATATAAATTTCCAGACTGACAAAATTGTGGCCAATACAGCATTTCAAGAATGTTTGATATCTTGTAGGAAAGCTGGATCAAAACAGCCAATAGTAGAGATGAGAACTGAGGATGAAATAATTACTAATCATGATGGGAGCCCAGTAAATGAACCAAATGAAACAACACCTCTTACAGAACCTGAGTATGTATTTTATTCTTGAGATTTTTTTTCTTTTAAGGTTCAGCATCAAAGCAGCTGAACATAAGAGGCCTTTATGATGCCGGATGCTATCATTTAGATAGATCGTTTTACATCTCTCCCTTATGATATGCTTGGGCACTTTCTTTCTCTGCAAATGAAAAACATTTATTTTATGGATATATTACTAAAATAAAAAGGAGAAAGCTCTATATCAATATATCTATCATTTCATAAATGGATCACTCAATCACATTAACAATAATTTAACAATAATTGAATCAATCTATTGCAATTTAGAAATACTAAATGTAATTTGTTGAAAGGCTTAAAGTGTTGGTAAACTCCACAAAATAAACTTCCTCCATTTTTTAGTCTGTTAAATATACCATTGAAGGTTTTTTGTTATATCTTATTATTGGATAAGTGCAAACAAATACCCGCTGTTGATCTTACCAGAAATCCAGTATGGACCACAAAAAACCCTGCTATGTTATAAAGAAGAAGGACAGGTGTTATGTAGTCCTGCCCTACAGTAAAAATGCTGCTCACCAAGTGAAAATAAAGGAAAAGGTTTAGATTCACTTTAAAACTGAGCATCTATGCTCTTACGGTCCTTTCATGATATATCCTGCAAACTATGATTGCAATTACAAAATCTAGGATATGCATCTATATACAATCATTTACAAAGCTATGAGATAAGCCTCTTTTAAAACATATCTAGCTATCTTTTTCAGAATGTCTTACTCTGAAGAAAATATAATAATATAAACAGCATAAGCACAAAAATAGTAACTGTAATTATTACAATTATTATAGGGTTACTTGAAAAAAATATATATATATGGCTGCATTAGTCCTTTATTTTCACTTGTTTATCCTGTACCACACCTCCTGTCCTAGGATGACAATGTTTGCTCACTGTACGGTATCAGCGGTGGAGTAGCTGCTCTCCTGATTTGGACAACAAACACCTCACCATCTTCATATTTCCATAATATATTAATAAACAGAGTAAGGACATGTGCAGAATCTTTCATTGATTTTCTCTTGACAAGGGCAACTAAACTATCTGCCCATTTTGTAGTTCAGCTACTATTAGAATGTGTATAAATGCCCCTTTCTAGTAAAGGTGAAAGGACCAAAATTATTTAATGGTAGAGATTTTTTTATAAGTTTATCTTTATTTTAGCGGCAGAATACCTTTTATGTAGGGAATTATTTATGTTTATAAATATAATAGTTCCATTCTATCATAGCATTATCTTTTTTTACACAGTATCTGATATGGTAGTGTGATGTAGCAGGATCAAGGATAAGGATAAAGGGTCAATGAGCTGTAAATATAGTATATTATAGGTCGCTCAGGTAGAACAGCATCTATCATAGAAAGTCTGTCACTTTGATGTTGGTCAAGAGTGTGAAATATTTATGGGACAGCTGAACCTTTAGAAAGTTAAAAGGTAAAAACACTG